CCCCCCCCCCCCCCCCCCCCGAGTGTACACTAAACACTCCCACACCTGGACCCTGCGCACTCTGAGCTCCTTAGCAGCAGATGGTACACACACACACACACACACACACACACACACACACACAGGGACCAAAGGTTACACACACTCAGACTGGAATGCAGCCTATTTTGGTAATAGGCCAATCTGCTGGTAATTGTCTTCATTGTTAATGTTGGTTTAGGTCTCAACTCTTGACCTTAGGAAGGCTTTCCTTACGTTTACATACAGTTGGGTTCGGACTCTGACTGGATGTGTGTAATCTTCCCATGTGAGGGCGTAACGGGTATCGGGGAAAGACTGCTTAGCTGCTTTAGATTAATAAGAACTCAAACCAGTTAGCATGCGTCGGCTCACATTTCAGAAGAAGGACTCGCACGCCTCCGGAACTGCGCCGACGTCACTGGCTCCAAGTGGACGGGCACAGAGGGAATAAATATGTTTTACAGCCCAAGAGAGTATTTGATTTGTTTAAGTGGCTGTTAGCCACAAACATTTTGGAACTGGACGATTTATATCACTCTTCAGGGGATGACGAAACGTGGGATGGGACCAGTTTCATCTGACATGGTTACATAAAACGATTGATTGGGATCCCTTTTTTTAAACTTCCTGAAAAGGGAACCTGCACGTGTGTGCGTTCTCGTCGCCGCGTGGGGAGCTGCAATCAACATGCGTGTTAAACCTGTTCCATGTGTGGCCGTAGCAGTGGCCATGGGTTGTTGTTTATTTACTGGAGCCGTGTCCCTGTTCCTCTCCTCCCCCCTCACCCGCGGAGTTTGTACGCCTCCCCACTGCTCACTGAAATAACATCCGAAGGCCCCTCTCTGTGTGTGTGGCTTAATTTTTCCCTCTCCAGGTGATATGATGCCCCGAAAAGTATGTCAGGTGGCCGAGTCACATCTTCCAACAGCCCTCCTTCCGGCTGGGTCGAGTCTTCCTTACAGTAACAGATTTGTGGATGTGGGGGTCGACCCCACCACCGCCAGCGAGGCTTTTGATGAGTCAGTCCAGCTCCTCATGCCCTCCACCGGCCTGCTGCAAATGTCGTGCGGTCGCTGCGCTTGGCCGTCACACACTTTGATGCGGCTCCAGACCCTCCAGAGTGAGCTCTTTAAATCGGTCACTTCGTCCCAAAATTCATCCGCAGCGGTTTCTTTGCAATGCGGCAAATAAAAAGCGGTATCCGGAGTTGCCTCACATTGGGTTTCATTTTTCTGGATGGTGAAGCCGCCGGTTTGATGTCCCTGCCTTTCAGGGTAACGGCTCACAAGGTTCCACCGCCTCTCATCCTCCATCTGTTGAAATTCCTCATCTCACAGAGAGGAAACAGCGTCATTTACCCATCGTCTCCTTTCCTTCTCTGGATAAAGACAATATGAGCATTGAACGGAATAACAACTAGAAGTCATGAAAGAAGCAATGTAAGAACAGATTTTCTCTTATTTTTGTTTTGTATCCAAGATTTGTTCTTATTTTCATAATATGCATTGATTTCTGGGACTCGCCAATGTTTTCTTATTTTCGCTCTCTCCTTCGTAA